CTGAGCAAAGAGTTCGCACTATGGATATTGGGGGGAAAAAAAAGTAAGGAAGACAGAAAAAAGAACACCTCCAACTCAATTATATCAACAATTTTTATATTAAAACATATTTTTGTTGCTATGGTTACTAAGAATTTAAGCAGACTGATGCTGGAATCGCAAGCAGGGTTAGGATTAAAATTTGCGATTTATCGTCACAGCCAAAGAAAAACAGAATTTGTGTGGAACTCGGTTGTAGAAAAGATGCAGCTGTATAGCTTACTTTTCATCTGATTAAGGACCGAGTGCCTGGTGTAAACAGAGCTCTAATGTGTCCACATTTTTCCTGACTGATCTGTGGAATTTAGTTTCTGTAACAAACTTAAATGTTGATAATAGCAATTAGAGTAACTTGGCCTCCTATATAAATTCATGGCAGAGAAAATATTCACACAATTATCATGCTCTTATGCTGTTTAGTTTGTTAAAATAATTTAAGCAAACTGTTAAATACATACTGTGGAGACATTCCAAAGGAGTAAAAGTAGTATGCTTCTGATACTTTTTGCACCAAATTCACTAGAATATTTACAGTTTAATATTTGTTAAAAGCTCCAACATAGTTTAAGACGCATGGGGGAGGTAATTATCTAATGTATGCTATTCAGTGCTTATGGCACCAGTCTTCAAGTATGGATCATTCTAGTGTAAATAAACTTCATTAACCTTGTTGTTTTGGGCTGGATCCTCAGCTTTTGTATACTGGTGTAGCCTTCGTAGCCAAAGGTTATGGATCTTCCCCCTCCCCTCCCTTTGTGCTAGTTTAGGATTTATTATTAAGTTATGGTATATATCCGACATTAGTTATAGTTTCAGATGTTTAATAGAAGTTCTGTTCTTCCCTTTTGAAGTGTCACAAGCTTAATGAGTCATTGTAATATAAAAAATATACATACTCTAAACAGTGAGGCTTCTTTGTTCAAAATGTGTTCCCACAAAGTAGCAATTTGCATTTTGATTAATAACCTGCTTTTTAAAGAAAATATAAATATGAATGTTTCATAACTCTTAAATGTAGACCATTTTCTGTTATGACAGATGGCATGGCTCCTTTCAAGTTTTGTGGGACCTTGTTCCAGTGGAACTTTAGCTTTTTGACATCTTTATAGTTGATCAAAATATAGCAACATTGTTGGAATAGCAGTCCCTGTAAAAGGACTTTAAATGGCACTTTTCACTTGTGCTTGAGATGTGAATAGCTCTGGTTAACTCTGCAGCTTCAGAAGCAGTATAAGGCTTCCACTCACTTTTCTTGTATACTTAATATTTGATCCCGTTAATGAAAGCCATAGATCAGTTTGAAATGTTGATAGAGATATGAGTGTCTTTGTTTTACCACTTAAGTTATTGTAACTTTAGTGAAAAAGATAAAAAAAATAAAAGCGAAAATGAGAGCCAAATTACTTTGTATTGTGCGCTGTAATTTACTGGCAGTAGCCAACTAATAGCAAAATGAACTATTTAAGAATTTTATAATAGCTGGATACAACGTAGGCAAACATCTAACTCTTGTACAAGTGAAAAGAAACAAATTCCTTGAATCTTTCCAACAAAACAAACTGATTGATTTCTTTTATTACAGCTAAGATGTCAAAATAGACAAGTTGTTGAGGAAACACGTCTCTCCTTAATAGATGAGGTGGAATTAAAAGTGCATGCAAATTATTGTTGTAGGTTTGGTAGGTAGGCAAGCTGTGAGGCTTTCATTCGAGGAAGTACAGCTTTGGGTACTGATATTTCTAGGAATTATAAGATAAAAATGTTACTGTCCAAGAAAAGTTTTGTCATCTATCTCCCTACATACCTTCACTGCTCTCTAATCTCAGCATGCTACAGAAGTTCTGCGTGTTTATCCCATTTCTTTGTTCCTTAGGAGAAAATGTATAAATTCTGTTATACATGCTTATAGCTTAATCTTCAGGACTTTCTTTTGCTTTCCTTCCCCGAAATGTAACACAAGACTAGACTCGGTGGTGATACTTACCAGCTAAGGGATAAATATCATTGTTTCTTGGTATTGATGGAGTTTATACTACTATTTGTAGTATAGCATTGAATGTTATCAAATATCCAGTAATGCACAATTTGTGTTTAAAATATGAAGAATTTATCAGTAGTTCTTATTAGGCTGCCTAAGAGATTGTTTCTTAGCCCAACATCTAAAGAATATTAAGACAGTATCAATAAGATCTTCAGGGACTGAAAAACAGTGTTTCCTCATTTACACAGTCAGGATGTGTTGTGTGCAGAATTCCCTGAACAGGCATTTAAAATACCTGTGTGTTCGAGCTCATTAAAATTGTTAATTGCAAAAGAAAGTTCATCAGTCATAGCTTTACTAATATTGTTCTGAGTCTTACTTTCTGTACTCACTCAATGCTCCTTTTTCAATTCATTTGTGTTTGGGTGTGAATGCAATTCAGAATTAAGCCCATTTTAAGGATCTGGATGAAATGAAGTAAAGCAAAATGCTTTGTTGGACAAATTCCGCTTTGTATAGTAGCATAAATCTATTGATGTGGAAAGAGGTTTTTTTTGGATTGGTAGAGCTAGAACTGAGCAATATTTGGCAAGCTTGCACACAGATTTGGATTTACTTATCCCTTGTTAAAAATGAGACAAAAAAGCTGTGAATATAGTGAACTCTTTCCCACATATTAAATAATTGTCATCCAGTTAAGTCTTGGATTTCAGACAAAGAACTGAAACAAAGTCTAACTAGTGTAAAAGGCACTAGGCTTTTAAAAGATTAGTCCATGTGAAATCTACAGGTAATCTCCTTGTGAAATGTATTCTGAAGCACTCTGTATTTACTCAAAAAGTAACATATTAGGCTTAAAGTATCGTAACTTGCCAGTAATTTAGTTTTGTATCACTTTTATAAAAACATGAAAAACCATAAACACACTTTAATTTTGAACAAGTTACATATCTACTTTTGCACCATCAGGATTTCAGAATATCGCACTCTGTTTTATGTGGAATTAGCCCTTTTCACCAATGTTACTGGATCCTTCTTTCTCTCAGTCCACTAAAATATTACCTTACAGGTCAGTAAGGTTGCACAAGGCATTTCTCTTCAACACAGTCATTTAAAATCTAGGAAGTTGTTAGTTTACGAACCATTACCCTTCAAACTCCTTGGGCCCATCGACACGTGGTATTAGTGCATAGCAATAAACTCTGGTGCATATTGCGCTGGAGTTTATTGCTCTTTAACAATGCATTTGAACATGCTCCTGGCACTGCAGCACATTGGGCCAGGTCAGAGCAGCCCTGGCTGGTAGGAGGCTGGTGGGGTGTGGGGGAAGGAGTCAGCCTGCCAGCTCATGGCTGCCCTGACCCAGCTCAGTGTGCTGCGGAGGGGCTGGCTGGGGCATGAGGGTGCTACAGTGTGGGGCTAGCTGGCAGGCAGTCCCTGCACTGAAGCACGCTAGTGCCCTAGCCACCTCTGTCAGCATCTACATGTAAGTTGCTGCAGAGTAAAGAGCTCCACCATAGGATAGTACTTGTGTTTACAAGGAATCTACAGCGGAGTTAATTAGTTGCCTCCATCCTAATAGCACTGCATGTGTAGATGCTGAGATGTTTGCTGAAGAGCTAATTAGGCAACTGCATGTTAAACATCTCATGTAGATACACCCAACTTCACACAACTAGTTCCTGTTCATATCCCATTTTGAATACCACCAGAGCATAATTCATTGCTCTCATAATGCACACATGTAAAGTAAAGTATACTCTGAAAAAGTAAACTCATTCTTGGAAAGTTCCCAGCATATGTGGATTTTCCCAGTGGTTTAAGTGCAAGCATGTGTTCATAAGAGTTCCTTTGCAGAACAAGGATCCAAGTTTGTATAGCTGTAAAGAAAATATTTGTAAGTGTGGTATTATGAAAAAAATAGAATTTTTCCCCCTATACAATAATTTTGTTTTTTCTTTGAGATTTCCAGAAGATCACCTGTTATCTCTTTAATTTTTAGGTTTGTGTGTCATGAAATTTGTAGAAAAAAAGACTGAAAAGCATATTTTTACATAGAGACTTAATTGTGTTCTTGTTTGAAATTCTGCAAAGGCCTTCCCTAGACTCTTCTGATCAGGCTTGTCTACACATTCATTTTAATGCACAATAGCCTATTTTACTGCACATTAAAGCAACATGTAATAAAACCATGTGATTAAGCTAATGCACAGTAAAATAGGCTACTGTGCATTAAGCATCATTTTAAAATTGTGCATTCGTTACTGAGCATTAAGGAAGCCTAATGTGCATTTACTTAGTACCTCACATTGGAGGTACTAAATTTAATGTGCATTAGGAAAAGTGCATTAATGCATGTGTAGCTGTGCCCACTGGTATTTTGTAGCTATAATGCTACTAGGTTTTAGTGGGACTCAGATCTACGTGCAATTAGTACACAAATTTATCACAGGGAACAGTGATCTTCTGGCTTATGCTAAGTAAACATAAGATATAATGTCCAAAGAATAAGGAAGTATACGTATTTAGTATTTGAGGTCACACTGAGCATCCTGAAATTTGTTAGATCTTAGATTTAAATGAAGATTGTGCTTCTTGTGTTACATTGTGGGACCTCTATTAGTTGACTGTTTTTTACATACTGATGAAGAAAACTATGTCAGGACATGAAGTATGATACAGGGGAGCATGTTTTTTGTAATTTTAATTTTGTGTCTATAAAGTTTGTAGTAATTTTGTGGTGCCGTACTTTGCATGGATTGAATATCAGTATATACAGGATTTATACCAAAAACTATTATTATACCAAAACAGAATTATTAACACAAGTATATAGTATATGAATTGCATTTTATCATTGTTATAGTTGAGTTAATTTTGGTAAACAACAGTATTCCAGTAATAATGTGTCATGCCTGACTCGAACAATATGCATAATCACTAATGTCTTTTTTTTTTTTTTTTAATTGCAGATTTCTTGCTGTTACGCAGTTTTCTCCTACTCATGCCAGAAAAGCCTTTCCTTGCTTTGATGAACCCATCTACAAAGCCACTTTCAAAATCAGCATCCGGCATCAAGCAACCTATTTGTCTTTGTCCAATATGCCAGTTGAAACTTCTGTTTTTGAAGAAGATGGATGGGTTACGGATCACTTTTCACAGACTCCACTTATGTCCACATATTATCTAGCTTGGGCTGTTTGCAACTTTACTTACCGAGAGACGATCACCAAGAGTGGAGTTGTTGTAAGTATTTCTAATGCTAGGTCTATGGGCACTTTGTAGTCTTAGAGAACCTTGCTTTTTGTAAGGAAACATGATGCCAGGTGCTTAGAGTAGTTACTCTGGAATCATGTTTCCTTACGAAAAGCAAGACTTTGATTAACATTCATAATGTTTGCTTGTGTACTTCAGGCCTTAAATCTGTTTTTATATTTGTTTTTCTGTGAAGTTTTGGTGTATATCCTGCATTTCATAATGTTTTAGCTTACCAGGGCAACCTAGCTTGACATACTTAGAGGTAAAACTTTAAGCATCTAAGTATGTCACTCCACTTTAATTATTATTATTTAATTCCTGTTTCTTATCCCTCTTTTGGTCTTTTCATTTCCCATGTTCCTAGAGCTGTTTGCAGAGAGGGTACAGTAAAACAGCAGTGAAGCTCACGTTTATCCTTAGGGCTCTTGCTTAGAAGTGTGTCTTTATACCAGGGGTGAGCAATTATTTTGGCAGCAGGCCATCGGGGGTGCTCATTGCCTGCGGCAGATGGACCCCCCCGCCCCTCATGGTATGTGGCTCTGGCTGAGTCCTGAGAGTTGCATGTGGTGGCAGGGAGGGGGGCCAGGCCACCAGCTCCATCACATGGGGTGCCTCATGGCTCATGTGCAGATCCTGGGACTCCATCAGAGTAGCACGTCGCTGAGAGGAGCCCCGGCGTGGTGGAGCCAGCAGCCTGGCCCTGTTCCCTGCTGCCATGTGCAGCTCCTAGAACTTGGCTTGAATGGCAGGGAGTGGGGCCAGACTCCATTGCACAGGGCTCTCTTCTAGGGCTGTGTGAAGCTTTGCCAGGTGTTTCGTTTCACCGATGTTTTGACTCATTTCGAGCTTGAAACAGTGAAATTGAAATGAAATGAAGGGCTTTGAAGCAGCCTCGAAATGAAATGAGGCGAGTTGAAACAATTCAAATTTCAAACCAGCCTGGTGGTGGGAGGCAGGAGAGAGCCAGGGCTCTGCTCCGAGCCGCAGCCCTGGCTCTCTCTGCCTCCTTGGATTGGCTCTAGTGTGGGGAAAATTTTTCCTGCCCGGGAAAAATTCAGCTTGTGTGGGGACGTGTCCCTGCACGAGCTGACTTGCCCCAGGCCTACCTGCCGCTGGCCCCAGGTGGCAGCACCAGCCTCCTGTGATCTGGGAGGCAGATAGGGGCCCGCACCCTCAGGAGCAGTTCAGCACAGCCTCTGCAGCCCTCCCAGGGGTGTGGGCAAGCCCTTGATTTGCCTGCCAGATGACAGGAGGCTGGTGTTGCTGGCTGGACGCAGCCCATGCTGGGAAGATTGGTGCTGCCGCTGGCCCCAGCTTGCAGCATCAGCCTCCTCCTGTTATCTGGCAGGCAGATTGGGGTCTCCCCTGCACCCCTGGGAGGGTGGCAGGGGCTGTGTCGGACTGCCTTCGGGGTTGCAGACCCCTGATCTATCTGCTGGATGACAGGAGGCTGGTGCTGCCGGCTGGGGCCAGTGGTAGCACCAATCTTTCCGGTGCTGGCTATGGGCAAAACGGCAAAAGAGTTTTGACGAAATGAAACTCGAAACAAAATACTGTTCCATTGAAACAGAAGTTGAAGCAGAATGATGTTGTTTCACACAGTCCTATACTCTTCCACTTCCAGCAGAGTCCTGGGAGCTGCACATGGTGGCAGGGATCAGGGCAAGGCTGCCATCCCCATCTCGTGCAGCTCCTAGCCGGGTTCTGGGAGCTGCATGTGAGCCATGGGGAACCTCCCTGTCCTGGGTCCCACACTCCCGCTGACCCAGGCATGGTGCAGGCCCTGCTTTCTCACCACTGCTTCACTACCTCCTGCCCTGCAGCAGGGACAGGAGGAGTCTCTGGAGGCTGGGAGATCTCAGCAGTTCCCTGGGCAGCTGCAGCAGCCCTGCCTGGAAGCTATGCCTGGTGGTGGGGCTGGTGCTGTCCTGCAGGGAAGGGTGGGAGCTTAGTGCACTGCCCCAGTGGGAGTGGGCGGAGCTCAGCCCCATGCGGAGCGCAGCAGGGGCAGCCATGGGCCAGGCTGGATAAAGTTAATTGGTAGGTGCCTGCCCGTGGGCCAGATGAAATTGCCTGGTGGCCTGGATTTGGCCCACTGGTCATATTTTGCCCACCCCTACTTCACACCCTCACCTCTTGCATGGAGTCTCAGATGGGAGGAAAGGTCTCAGATTTCTGATTTCTGTGTGGCATGGTTCCAAAAGCTGCTAATTTTTTTTTTTTTTTTAAATGCATGTCAGCTTTGTTTTTGTTTAGAAATATCAAGTACAGAACTGTATAACAAGCCAAAATATACATGAAAAATTCTGTTAGCTAAATAGGTTTTTGAAATACTGTCAGTTTTGTATTTTGTTGAATATACAGAAAAGCTTTGAGATACTTTGCACAACAATATTGTTTCAGTGTTAAAACGGGGTGGGGGGGCGGATTGAAGCTAGATTACATGCCTATGCAAAGAGTAATGGGTGACAAGAATTTGCTGCACTTTTCTGCATGGGCTCTCCTGACTTCGTGTTCCCCCGCTTGCTGACTTAGGGCTTCCCCTTGGAGCAGGAGAGTACAGAGGGAATGGTGGGGTAGGAACCTTGTCCTACCCCAAGTATATATTATGCCAACTAGCAAATGTAGCACTACATTTCTTTTTGTGACTCAAGAACAAGAAGGAAACCTGATTTAAAAGTGATTTCTCTGGGGCAAAATGCCCCACTTTTTTAGCCCTAGGATACTTTCAATTTGGAAACTTACTAGATGTGTGTCCTTTAGTGCCATGGGCACAGAGGCTGGTCTTAAACCTCTGGTCTCAGCCTTGTTAGGCCAGTACCCTCTCCGCTAGTGAGTAGTGACTCGATGACTGAAATGGATTGCCTATCAGGTATGGAACCTGTCACCTCTGGTTGCCAGTTTTACTCTCTTGCTCCAGCTTCATCATTACTAAAAACTCTAATCATTTGAGGTGTATCCATAGGTCTAGGCAAAATGAGCTGGTGGTTTCAGCTGAGCAATTAGTACACGGGTATCAACATGCTAAAGATCTCTAACCATCAAGGACTTTATGATCCCCTTTATACCATAATGCTGCTGGGTCTCATAGAAATTCATATAAAATTGTGATAAAGGACAGGTGTAAGTGCTCCATGTGCTTCCGACATACAAATGTCATAATTTTTAACACAACTGCACATGTGCAACAAAAGGCACAACATTCAAGACTTTTGGTTTGAAAAATACTGCCTCTTCCACTTAAATACGAAGAATCCCCTTTTTCTGTAGCACTGTTTAAGTCTTATGCTCAGGAGGCAGCAGCCAGTTGCAGGTGACAGTCATGTATACCTGAGTAGGGTCTGATACCCTGAGGGAAGGGGAACAGTCATGTGCGGACAGTACTTGGCTGCTTTTTACTCTTTCTCCTGTTAGGTGATGCTAATCCTTGGATGCCTGTGGTTAACAGGAGTTTACGACAAACTGGCACTCAGCTGCTTAAAATGAATCTGACTACCTAAGGCACCAAAGTCATAAACTGAGATAGAGCATAGGTCCTTTTGGTTCAATAGTGTAAGAGCTTATGACGTGTACTCTTCAGTCAGTTTGACAGCCTTACAAAAACACACCACACTAATTGGCACCCTTGCTGGCAGTCTCGACAGAGGGGCCAAAAGTTGAACAGCCATGGAGACTGAGATACTGTCTAAGCCCTAAAGGTGGTTTCAGTGCGTGTTCTCTTGCTTTTGCCCATCATTTACAGTGGGCCCAACAATGTGGTGTCTTAATGCTTGAATAGTGAGTAGACCTGAGGGAATACTTTGTACTGAATAATTCATTAAATGAATTTAGCTTCTTTTTCAGCTTGACTGTGAGCCGGTCACCATCAGTTTGTGTTGCTCAAACCTTCTGATCAGGTATCTCACTGCATTGTTATAGTGTGGCTTGTTTGCAAATATTTTAGGTTTGAGATAGTTAGTGGTTGCTCAGAAAAATGGCATGGTATCATTGCTGTACCCCAGTATGGAGAGTGAGCACACACTTTCAGAATGCATTACCTTTTTTTACCTTGGCACTGGTGCACGCAGCTCTGAAAGATGTCTCTCCCCAGCAATTTTGCAAGTAAAATTAATTGCCCCAGTTGTCCATGGAAGATGAAAACAAAGGCACAGAAAAGTAAATTCATTTACAAATATGAATCAATAGCTGGGAAATTCCCCTGTCTCTAATACTAAAGCACTCTAGTCACATTTTAAACTTGAGGGATTTTGCTTAAAGTAATGCAGTTTGTCACACTTCTTTTCTGAGTAAGTGAAAGACTTTAGTTGCCTCGTACTGTCACTCTGGCATTTTAATTTCAATTCATAAAGCAATTGAAAAAAAATGTGTTTTTTGACATGTTGACAACAAAAATCTCACCTCCATTCTTACTAATCAGAGTCTTGCCTGATTTGAGTATTTTTATGGGGGCCCAGGACAATTAAACCCCTAGGAAAACAAAGCAATAGTAACATTACAAAGTGTCTTGATAACTGGAGAGGGTTAATGATCAGCAGTTCTCTTTGTCTCTGGAAAAAAATGACGTTCAGTATTCTAAGAGTCTCAAGCCAGGTCAACCCGTGTGGTTTTTTTAATGAATTCTAATCTGTGCTCTAAATTCAGGTTAAATTAATTTTGGATTGCCAAAATAGCCAGTTCCTAAATAATAAAAATAGATGCTTAGTACTTGTACAATGTCACATATTACACATGCAAAGTTGCTGTATATTATGCAGACTAATATTTGTTTGAAAAGGAGAACTCAAGATAAGCATTGTTTTCAGGAGCACAGTTCAGTGGATGTCAGCTGTTAGCATAAAAATTCAGTCCCTATGGGGCCTGACAAAAATCCCTACCCGAGTACATTTTTCAGAAACAGTCACCTCTTAAGGGTGGTTTAAGGATGTATGATATGTTGATTCCATTCTCTGTGCAAGTGCAGGGGAAAATACTGTTGTGGAGCCGCTTTT